GCTGGGGGTCCCTGAGAAGATGTTTGTTACAGCTGGGGGTCCCTGAGGAGATGTTTGGAACAGCTGGGGGTCCCTGAGGAGATGTTTGGAACAGCTGGGGGTCCCTGAGGAGATATTTGGAACAGCTGGGGGTCCCTGAGGAGATGTTTGAGAACCACTGTCCTAAGGGCTATGGTCAAAAATAGTGCACCAGGGAATAAATGGGTGCCATTTGGGATGCTATAAGAATGGCTCCTCGTGAGGTCCCTGAGACAGAGACCAGTGTGGGCAGACTGTGTTTTATCCATTCTTCATCACTGGGTATTTATATCCCACACCACCTGTGTGCTGTGGCAGGGTGTGTTTGTCTGTCTGTCATATCCCTCAGTGCAGTGGGCCTTTTCTCTCCCCTGGTCTACCCTTTCTCTGTCTCCTCTCTTTTCACTCTTTCCTCTCTTTCACTGTCCTCTCTTTCACTGTCTCCTCTCTTTCACTGTGTCCTCTCTTTCACTGTCCTCTCTTTCACTGTCTCCTCTTTTACTGTCTCATCTTTCACTGTCTCCTCTTTCACTGTGTCCTCTCTTTCACTGTGTCCTCTCTTTCACTGTCCTCTCTTTCACTGTCTCCTCTTTTACTGTCTCATCTTTCACTGTCTCCTCTCTTTCACTGTCTCCTCTTTCACTGTCTCTACCCTTTCACTACCTCCTCTCTTTCTCGGTCTCCCGAGATTTACTGTGTTAGTTTGAATGGCTTCCTTATTTGATATAATTAAGGCTCTAGATTGCATGAAATGGCTAATACAGTTGAAATCTGAAGTTTACATACACTTAGGTTGGAGTCATTAAAACTCGTTTTTCAACCACTCCACACATTTCTTGTTAACAACCTATAGTTTTGGCAAGTCGGTTAGGACATCTACTTTGTGCATGACACAAGTAATTTTTCCAACAATTCTTTACAGACAGATTATTTCACTTATAATTCACTGTATCACAATTCCAGTGGGTCAGAAGTTTACATACACTAAATTGACTGTGCCTATAAACAGCTTGGAAAATTCCAGAAAATGATGTCATGGCTTTAGAAGCTTCTGATAGGCTAATTGACATCATTTGAGTCAATTAGAGGTGTACCTGTGGATGTATTTCAAGTCCTACCTTCAAACTCAGTGCCTCTTTGCTTGACATCATGGGAAAATCAAAAGAAATCAGCCAAGACCTCAGAAAAAATATTGTTGACCTCCGCAAGTCTGGTTCATCCTTGTGAGCAATTTCCAAATGCCTGAAGGTACCACGTTCATCTGTACAAACAATAGTACGCAAGTATAAACACCATGGGACCATGCAGCCATCATACCGCTCAGGAAGGAGACGCGTTCTGTCTCCTAGAGATGAACGTACATTGGTGCGAAAAGTGCAAATCAATCCCAGAACAACAGCAAAGGACCTTGTGAAGATGCTGGAGGAAACAGGTACAAAAGTATCTATGTCCACAGTAAAACAAGTCCTATATCGACATAACCTGAAAGGCTGCTCATCAAGGAAGAAGCCACTGCTCCAAAACCGCCATAAAAAAGCCAGACTACGGTTTGCAACTGCACATGGGGACAAAGATCGTACTTTTTGGAGAAATGTCCTCTGGTCTGATGAAACAAAAATAGAACTGTTTGGCCATAATGACCATCGTTATGTTTGGAGGAAAAAGGGGAAGGCTTGCAAGCCGAAGAGCACCATCCCAACCGTGAAGCACAGGGGTGGCAGCATCATGCTGTGGGGGTGCTTTGCTGCTGGAGGGACTGGTGCACTTCACAAAATAGATGGCATCATGAGGAAGGAAAATTATGTGGATATATTGAAGCAACATCTCAAGACATCAGTCAGGAAGTTAAAGCTTGGTCGCAAATGGGTCTTCCAAATGGACAATGACCCCAAGCATACTTCCAAAGTTGTGGCAAAACTGCTTAAGGACAACAAAGTCAAGGTATTGGAGTGGCCATCACAAAGCCCTGACCTCAATCCTATAGAAAATTTGTGGGCAGAACTGAAAAAGCGTGTGCGAGCAAGGAGGCCTACAAACCTGACTCAGTTACACGAGCTCTGTCAGGAGGAATGGGCCAAAATTCACCCAACTTATAGTGGGTAGCTTGTGGAAGGCTACCCGAAACGTTTGACCCAAGTTAAACAATTTAAAGGCAATGCTGCCAAATACTAATTGAGTGTATGTAATCTTCTGACCCACTGGGAATGTGAAGAAATAAAAGCTGAAATAAATCATTCTCTCTACTGTTATTCTGACATTTCACATTCTTAAAATAAATGGTGATCCTAACTGACCTAAAACAGGGAATTTTTACTAGGATTAAATGCAAGGAATTGTGAAAAACTGAGTTTAAATGTATTTGGCTAAGGTGTATGTAAACTTCCGACTTCAACTGTACATTCCACATTTCCCAACAACCCCCTCTAAAGTCAATAATAACAATAGTAATGGTAATCATGATATAATGATTGTTATCTTTATTACTTTATTTATATCATTAAATGATATGTAGACAAAAAGTATTACAAGTAAACCAACATTTGTTCATGTCCTGTCACACACACATGAAAGGGTACTTCAGACAGGTCCCAATGTGATTGGTGGGTAGAGAATCCACAAAAGGTGGAGAACCTCTGGTATAGAACACAAACCAAACACTGATACAAACCATACAGTCATACACAGAATGTCAACTCACTATTTCCTATTCCATTTGATCAACCCTACTGCAGTTATCACCTTTTATCAATACTACTGCAGTCATCACCTTTTATCCATCCTACTGCAGTCATCACCTTTTGGATAACATACTGTAGATAGGCCTATTCTCTTGTTTTGGAGTCTGGAACAGAGTGGGTGTGTTTTCTCCTCTCCTCTTTGCAGTGTGTTATGGGATGCGTGCCACCCACTTCAGGTGGACAATAGTGTTTCCTGTTTCTGTTTCCCGCCTGTCTCAGCAGTCTCACATCACAACTAACCACTGCCAACACACAGACCCAGAGACATACATTTAGAATATAGCTCATATACCCTTCCACACTACTGACCTGAGCCAAGATGAACACAGCTGTACTGGGCTGGCCTGGTTATACATTTAACATAGTTTCTGGAACCGTGATGGACAGGACCATGTGGAAGGTAAATATCAGAGCCAGCCCATTAGAGTTCGGTTAGGCCCATTAGTGTTAAAAGTGTAATACTGTATACTGTACTGCTCTGAGACTGGTATGGTAGAACACTCAGGGTTAATGTCAAATGATAACCTACTACACCTCATGATATAGTGCACTGCATTTGTCCAGATAAAATAGCAACATGATGTAGAGCACCGTTCGATTACCGTATCAAGCAGTTGCCAAATATGTAGGTATCATGACGTACTAGTCAGTAGTACCACATTATTTCTTATTAATACGAGCTGAAATAGGATAAAATAACTAGTTTGTATTTCCTAACATGATCATGTGCTTTCCCCTCTACAGCACCACAGCCTATCTGCCATGACCAAAGATGGTGGATAAATAAAGATAGTCCACTCAGGCCGTTTACCATTGAAAAAAATGGTCAGTTCCGGTCTACTTAAGGGGGTGTCTCTCCCATTGACACCAATGCGATAGCAGCTGGGTCTGGTTTACTTAGTTCATGGACTTCCATTGAAAAAATAAATTAGGGAGTGGGATGTCTCACTTCCTCTTCTGTCTCTGCAATGACATGTCACTGTGATCAGTGTGTGTCTACTGCCTTGTAGTGTTAACTTGATGTCAGTGCAATAAGGCTGTGGTTCTCCTGTAGTCCATGCCAACAACCCACCACAGTGGACACCACAATCAATATGTGACATATGGACAGTCATATAAAGAGATATGAAAGGACAGTAAGAACAAATTCCAGTGAAAGTGAACAAACAATAGGCTGAGGGAAATGGATGATCCCTCAGCAAAGGGAAGACAGGCCTTTTATTGCTCATTATTACAGTTTCTTAAACTGTTGTTTTTTAAAATCAGAAACTCTAAATTACTTTTCTGTTACAATCTAAAACGATGTTGTTGAATAAATACGTGTACACGTTGCTATGTCTTTAAATGTATTTTCTAAAATCTTTCACATCCAGTCTGAGGAGGTACAGGGTAAGGGCAATCGCTTGCATCTCTATCACAGGTGGCTGGTGGCACATTAATTGGGGAGGACCGGCTCATAGTTATGGCTGGAACGGAATTCATGGAATGGTCTCAAACACATCAAAGACCTGGTTTCCATGTTGATACCATTCCATTTACTCCATTGCAGCCATTATTGTGAGCCGTCCCCCCATTACCAGCCTCCTGTGATCTCTATGTGCGACATCTTAGTGTAGCCAGTTTGTCCGGGTTTTGTTTCTAGAAACTATGCCACCTCTCACCTACTTCCTCATACGTTAACTCAAGTCAAGCCATGTTAACTCAAGCTGATTAAAGTTTGGATTCCATCTCATCTACAAGAATAACAAGTATATCAAGTTATGGTGCAAGCTACTTCCCTGTCTTGCAGTAGACACACCAGTCTTTCCCCATGGGCGAGCAAGCTTTAAACCCTTCTCAATTGTGATCTACATGTATCTAATTGTAAGTATTATTTGTATATCTGTTTAAAGCTGTCAGGGATAATAGAGCTAATGGGAGAAATGCTTTGTACTAATAAATCCCCACAATTAATATTCAAGTCAATGTTGATGGTTGGCAATAACTGTGTGTGAGAACCAGTCAGGCTAAAGTTTCAGGTACCTTTGGTTCCGTCTCCCTTTACCTTACCTTAATAAAAGGAACAAGTTTTACATATTTTAGAAAGTCTGTCTTAAGTAGTCTTCTGTCTTTGGTCTCAGGTGATTAAATAGCAAATCCATACCATATGCTCCATAAAATAGCCTACTTTGAATCACATTGAGGGTCTAGGGCTCAGGATCGTTATGATTGATATACAGTATGTAATCTTCTCTTTCAGAAATGATGTGGACTTGGACAGACTGTCTGTGTGTTACTCTCCTGCTTCTCCTCCAAAGAGCAGGCTCTGGTAGAGTGACCTCACATGTTCTTTGAGTGTGTGTGTGTTTGTGTATGAACGATGTGAGGATTTGCATGAACGATGGGTACAATTTGCACTTTCGGTACTAGGTTATTCCATTGACAACCAAGCTAAATCAAGCGAACCTTAAGTATTAGAGCCAGGTTTGGTGTTTATCTTTAGTGTGGTCTGTTAAAGTCTGAATGGGACTAACAGTTGATTATGTGCACAGTCATTTTATTTTTATTTCCAGAGAAGTTTGAGGTTCTTGGTCCGACTCGTGCCATTGTTGCTGTGGCTGGTGATGACATCATTCTGCCCTGTTACATCAAACTCAACATCAGCGCTGAGGACATGAGAGTTGACTGGTTCAGAGTCAACCTCCCAGACCCTCAGTCAAACATTCGAGTCCATCTCTACCAAGACGGCAGAGACAAATACCATGATCAGATCCGCTCCTACAAAGGAAGGACATCATTGTTTAAAGAGGAACTGAAGAAGGGCAACACCTCTTTGAAACTGACCAGGGTACAAGGCACTGATGATGGACAGTACAAATGTCTTGTTCAGTCTAAGACCCATTATGATGATGCCACTATTCAAGTCCACATAAGAGGTACATTTCTTTTCCCATATACAGTGGGGAAAAAAAGTATTTAGTCAGCCACCAATTGTGCAAGTTCTCCCACTTAAAAAGATGAGAGAGGCCTGTAATTTTCATCATAGGTACACGTCAACTATGACAGACAAAATTAGATTATTTTTTCTAGAAAATCACATTGTAGGATTTTTAATGAATTTATTTGCAAATTATGGTGGAAAATAAGTATTTGGTCAATAACAAAAGTTTCTCAATACTTTGTTATATACCCTTTGTTGGCAATGACACAGGTCAAACGTTTTCTGTAAGTCTTCACAAGGTTTTCACACACTGTTGCTGGTATTTTGGCCCATTCCTCCATGCAGATTTCCTCTAGAGCAGTGATGTTTTGGGGCTGTCGCTGGGCAACACGGACTTTCAACTCCCTCCAAAGATTTTCTATGGGGTTGAGATCTGGAGACTGGCTAGGCCACTCCAGGACCGTGAAATGCTTCTTACGAAGCCACTCCTTCGTTGCCCGGGCGGTGTGTTTGGGATCATTGTCATGCTGAAAGACCCAGCCACGTTTCATCTTCAATGCCCTTGCTGATGGAAGGAGGTTTTCACTCAAAATCTCATGATACATGGCCCCATTCATTCTTTCCTTTACACGGATCAGTCGTCCTGGTCCCTTTGCAGAAAAACAGCCCCAAAGCATGATGTTTCCACCCCCATGCTTCACAGTAGGTATGGTGTTCTTTGGATGCAACTCAGCATTCTTTGTCATCCAACCACGACGAGTTGAGTTTTTACCAAAAAGTTCTATTTTGGTTCCATCTGACCATATGACATTCTCCCAATCCTCTTCTGGATCATCCAAATGCACTCTAGCAAACTTCAGACGGGCCTGGACATGTACTGGCTTAAGCAGGGGGACACGTCTGGCACTGCAGGATTTGAGTCCCTGGCGGCGTAGTGTGTTACTGATGGTAGGCTTTGTTACTTTGGTCCCAGCTCTCTGCAGGTCATTCACTAGGTCCCCCCGTGTGGTTCTGGGATTTTTGCTCACCGTTCTTGTGATCATTTTGACCCCACGGGGTGAGATCTTGCGTATAGCCCCAGATCGAGGGAGATTATCAGTGGTCTTGTATGTCTTCCATTTACTAATAATTGCTCCCACAGTTGATTTCTTCAAACCAAGCTGCTTACCTATTGCAGATTCAGTCTTCCCAGCCTGGTGCAGGTCTACAATTTTGTTTCTGGTGTCCTTTGACAGCTCTTTGGTCTTGGCCATAGTGGAGTTTGGAGTGTGACTGTTTGAGGTTGTGGACAGGTGTCTTTTATACTGATAACAAGTTCAAACAGGTGCCATTAATACAGGTAACGAGTGGAGGACAGAGGAGCCTCTTAAAGAAGAAGTTACAGGTCTGTGAGAGCCAGAAATCTTGCTTGTTTGTAGGTGACCAAATACTTATTTTCCACCATAATTTGCAAATAAATTCATAAAAAATCCTACAATGTGATTTTCTGGATTTTTTTCCCTCAATTTGTCTGTCATAGTTGACGTGTACCTATGATGAAAATTACAGGCCTCTCTCATCTTTTTAAGTGGGAGAACTTGCACAATTGGTGGCTGACTAAATACTTTTTTCCCCCACTGTATACAACAACCCACAGCGAAGTGTTTCCAATCTCAGCAGTACTTCATCTCCAGTCTCCCTTTGTGTCTGTAGCTATAGGATCCAAGCCAGAGGTTTCCATTGAGGGACAGAAAGAAGGAGGGATGGGTCTGCTGTGTGTATCTAAAGGCTGGTTCCCTGAGCCTGAGTTGGAGTGGCTGGACAGTGAAGGGGTCACTCTGTCTGCTGGACCTTCAGAGACAGACAGGGACTATAAGGGGTTCTACATAGTCAAACTAAAGACCATTGTAAAGGAGACTGACACCAACCACTTTACCTGCAGACTCAGACAGAGGCAACTCAGTGAGCAGATCAACATGGAGACAGAGTTTCACATCTCTAGTGAGTTGCACAACATCATATTATTGTTTAGCTGATATGAAACACTTTTAATGTTTTATATGCTTTTGTATTACCAAGGCTGAGTAATAATGAAACATAAATAGGACAATTGGATACAAGTTTGTCGACATTTTAAGAACACTAAAGTATTCTAATGTCAAAATGAAATGTTGGTTTTGTAGATCCAGCTTTATGCCTCCACCCCAAATGAATGGAAAACCAGGACATTAGATGGTTCTCAAATGTTCCATTCATTTGGCATTGAGGCATATTGCTGGATCTACACAACTGATGTCATGGGATGTGGTTTCATTTTGACATTAGTCTGCATTTGAGGTCTGTAAAAGTTTAACAAATCATTCTTTATGAGCGAAATGTCCCTTCAATTTTATTATTTGGTAGCAGTGGTAAGCATGTCACTGATCTCAGTTGATTTGTGTCTTGCAGGTGAGCTGATCCTTGTTCACACAGACACATGGAGAGTGGCCTTTGCAGTGATTGTCTCTCTGAGCATTGTCCTTGTGGTCATATTCGCTTTCACCATCTGGCACTGCAATCGTTTGTCCAATGACTACGGTAATAGAAAACTAATTAAAGAGTTTATTTGACTGAATGTAAATGTTTTACAGTGCCGTTTCCAGAGTGGCATACACAAGGAGTTGGGTACTAGAACCGAAAGCTTGCTAGTTCGATTCCCTGAGCCGACAAGGTGAAACAAATTAGTTGATCTACCCTTGAGCAAGGCACTTAACCCTAATTGCTCCAGGGTCGTCATGAATCTGATCCCTGGCCATGACCCCACTCTCCGAGAGTATCTCAGAGAGAGTTGGGATATGCAAAAAACACATTTCCATTTCACACCTCACACTCGTACAGGTTAACCACTTGTACATGCAGTGAAACAGGACAAATATAAGAACCCCCCTATTTGACCTTTAGAATTAAAAAGCTGTGATGAGGTGTGAATGAAGGAGTCAGGCGCAGGAGGTAAAACACCGAAGTCCAGAGTTTATTACGTTTACATAAATAAAACGCTTCCCAGCGTGAAAACGAAACTAATACAAGGGAAAATATTCCACCTTGGCAAGTACAAATAGAAGAGTAGCTCAACCGAGCTCCTCACTCTCACAATAAACAATCACTCACAAAGACAAGGGGAACACTTATATACATACTAATTAGGGGAATGAGCACCAGGTGTGTGTGATTGACAAGACAAGACATGACAAGTGGAGTGATGAGAATGGGATCGGCAGTAGTTAGTAAGCCGGTGACGATGAACACCGAAACCTGCCCGAACAAGGAGGGGAGGCAGCCTCGGCGGAAGTCGTGACAAAAGCAGACATTGGTCAGATACTGTACATGTGTATTTAAGGATTTGTATTTAAAAAAAAATCTATGTATAGGGCAAACCCATTTTTATTTGAAACAACTTTCTCCACAAAAATGCTAGATTATTTAATATAAGGTTTCTTTAAATCACAGTGTGTGGTTTCTGAATCACATCAGTGTAATTGGCTCCTTCATGGAAAGGACTTTGTCAAAAAACATCTTGAGTAGGTCCTTTTGTGAACTGTTATCTATTTTCATGCCTCCAGATGCATCCAAAGCTAAACACAGTCAAGAGCTAGGTAAGTAATGTCAAACATGCAGTTCTCCTCCATAAATGGAACTTTGTCAGAGAAAACACTGAGGTTCTTGTGTTCATTAAGGATGTTCTCTCTAATGTCTGTTTCTTTTTTATGTCTGCAGTTAAAGATGAACACAGCCTTGAGTTGAGTTAGTAGTGTCCAACAGTCCTATGCACGTGTTAAACTCATTCCACAGAGGGCCAAGTGTCTGTGGGTTTTCACTCCTCCCTTGTACTTGATTGATTAATTAAGCTAATTGATTAGTAAGAAACTCCCCTCACCTGGTTGTCTATGTCCTTAATTTAAAGGAAATAACCAAAACCAGCAGACACTAGGCCCTCCATGGAATGAGTTTAACACTCCTGGTCCTATGCATCAGTGTGTCATATGTTCAGATTTTAATAATTGTCTTCTCCATGGATGTGAGATGTGTTCATTAAGGATGTTCACGCTAACTGTTCTCTTTTTATGTCTGCAGAAAAAGTTCAAGATGACAAGGAATGTATGCTGAGTAAGTTGTGTCCAACACTCCTTTGCATCAATGTCTTTTTTTTTTTACTCCCAATTATTTTGGGATCCCAAACAACAATTGGAGACAAACAATCCCCATTACATGAATATGTTACATAAATGGATGCCAGTCCAACAGCTAGTTTCATGGATTTAAAATCCTTACATATTTGACATTGTTTTTTATCACATTGCTTTCACTGTCCCCATCCCCCTGTCAACAATTAATTTAATTATTCACTGTTAAGAATGCTTTAATTGACTTGAATTAATCTGTTTGTCTGTAGAGATACTCACTGATCAGCTGGGTAAGTAGGAGATATACATGATGCATTACTAGACCATTATGGTCAATATACAATACATATTCTCAGGAACCCTGTTCCTACAGAGCTAACTTCCTATAGGTTTTTCGATCCAACCTTAGTTGTAACTGACCTCATTCAACTTATCAACCAGCTAATTATTAGAATCAGGTGCACTAGATTAGGGTTGGAGTGAAAACCTACATGATGGTAGCCCTCCAGGAACAGGGTTGGAGAGCCCTTTTCTAAGGGCTTACAATATGCATTGTGCAAATAGCACAAAGATTAGTCATAATTATGTAGTAAAATATAACTGTATTGGAATTAATTTTTACTCACTGCGATGGCAATGTTCAGAACAATAATTATATTTAGTTGTATTAAAACATGTTCACACTTTAATGAACTGGAATTATAATTGGTTTTATTTGTTGAATTTACCCACAGATTTTGTAAACATGAAGGGGTGTCCAGGTAAATTAATGACACTGAATTGGATTTAAAATATATTTGATGTCTTCATATCATATTTTTGTTGTTTGTAGGTATACTACAGTATATTATGGTAGAGTGATGTATTTTTACACCATGTCACTTTGGATATGTATCTGGTTCTGAACTTGAATTAAAAAAATTATCCCTCACCTTATCATTAAAGTTTGGAGATTAAGAGAGGGAGATTTGTCATCATGTTACCATAGTTTCCCCAAATCTGACAAGCTCTTTCTCTATATTCTAGAATTTGAAACCATCAGAAGACATGCAGGTCAGTGTGATGTACTCTCCAGTCCACCCACCTAGAGTTTCACATGAATATTAATATCTTCACGTACCGGTATTACTTGAAATAACATGACACATTCATATCTACAGTATACTTATGTTGTTATCAATAACAACCTATATGCTACATATGTCTACAGTAATGTACTGTACATTAAGTCCTGCAGTAAAATATTGTCCCCCATATTGATGTTATTTTCTTATTATTTTTATTGACTATTTTTCACTTCACAGTGGATGTGACTCTAGACCCAGATACAGCACATCACTATACATGTGTCCTAGAGTAATGGACTGAGCAGTAAAATGCAGTCCCCCATATTGATATGTTTATTTAATTATTCTAATAAAGTGTGTGTTTCTCTCCATAGTGGATGTGACTCTAGACCCAGATACAGCACATCATAACCTCATCCTGTCTGAAGACAGGAAACAAGTTAAACGTATAACAAAACAAGAGAGTTTTGATAAAGTTCACTATGCCCTGGGAAAGGAAGGTTTCTCCTCAGGGAGATTCTACTATGAGGTGCAGGTGGAGGGGAAGACTGGGTGGACTTTAGGAGTGGTCAGAGAGTCCATCAACATGAATAATAACTTTTATCTGAAACCTGACAATGGATGCTGGACTGTGTGGCTGAGGAAAGGAAAGTACAAGGCTCTTACTTGGCCCTCTGTCCCCCTCTCCCTGAGAGAGAAGCCCCAGAAGGTGGGGGTGTTTGTGGATTATGAGGAGGGTCAGGTCTCCTTCTATAATGTGGAGGCCAGGTCTCATATCTACTCTTTCACTGGCTACACCTTCACTGAGAAACTTTATCCATTATTTTATTCTGATACTATTTATGACAGGTCACTGGTCATCACTCCTGTAGATGTCACTGACTGACTGTTTTATACCAAACATTGAAGTACTGTGTGTGTGTGTGTGTGTTACTCACAGTCTGAATGAATTGGAATGTGTTTATCACTATATGATTATACTAACAGAGAGGAAATTCACCTTGTATAATTTATGCTGAATGTCATCCTTTTGTGGTGGCAGAATTTGGGGTGAGCTGTTGTAACTTCTCAAGGGATATGTTATGTGTTGGACTGTGATGTTATGCCTTTCATAGACTCCTGGTATGTCTGCACTCTAACACAAGGCCATTGTGTTCTGGAACTGTTGCTTGTATAAATAACTGTTGTGTAACAATATGATTGTATTGTCACCTCCCACTATATAAGGGACATGTAACCATTTATTCTTTGAACTCATCCCTGTGAAATCAGAGACAGATCTCCCTCGCAACTGCTTGATTAAAGATGTTTCTATTATACAATTATATAGTCTATGCCTTAATCTTTTGATTGAGTTTTCCACAACATTTGGTGCTGTGACCCAGATGAGAGCAACCTGACTTTTTGATCTGTTTCGCTCGGATTGGAACCAGACATCCCTCTGCCACAACTAAACAAGGTAAGAGACCTTATTCAAAAGTCTCTGTAAGTGACTGTCTGATTTCCAGCCGAGCCTTACATTTACATTTACATTTTAGTGATTTAGCAGACGCTCTTATCCAGAGCGACTTACATGAGTAATTAGGGTTAAGTGCCTTGCTTAAGGGCACATCGACAGATTTTTCACCTAGTCGGCTCAGGGATTAGAACCAGCGACCTTTCAGTTACTGGCACAACGCTCTAAGCTACCTGCCGCCTTAATGGTGAAATATCTCTTGTCCTCCTCATCCACAACATTATTGGGTTCAATTTGGCTGAACTATTTTCCTATAATAATGAATCTGGCGGGTGAACTAATTCAGAGGATCTAAGGAAATTGATCCAGAGAGTAAATCTAAGGAAACTGATTAACATTGTATCCAATAGTAGGGATTTGTTTTCCTATAATCACATGAAAATACTGTTGGATCAGTATATAAGTAGGAATTGGATAGCCTACATTTGAATACTGCAGTAGCAGGAATTGAATAGCCTGCAAGTAGGAATTGGATACCCTACAGCAGGAATTGGATAGTCTGCAAGTAGGATTTGGATAGCCTACAATTAACGAATTATTATAATATATGTATAATTGGTTTGCACACATGAGTTGGATAAGGAAGTAAAACAAATTGTTGTTATGTATGTATTCAGACCCTTTGCTATGAGACTCGAAATTGAGCTCAGGTGCATCCTGTTTCCATTGATCATCCATGAGATGTTTCTACAACTTGATTGGAGTCCTCTGTGGTAAATTCAACTGATTGGACATGATTTGGAAAGGCACACACCTGTCTATATAAGGTCCCACAGTTGACAGTGCATGTCAGAGCAAAAACCTAACCATGAGGTCGAAGGAATTGTCCGTAGAGCTCCGAGACAGGATTTTGTCGAGGCACAGATCTGGGGAAGGGTACCAAAAAATGTCTGCAGCATTGAAGGTCCCCAAGAACACAGTGGCCTCCATCATTCTTAAATGAAAGTTTAGAACCACCTAGACTCTTCCTAGAGCTGGCCGCCCGGCCAAATTGAGCAATCGGGGGAGAA